AAAAATAAATACATAAATAATAAAATAAAAAATTATGAAAAAAAAATACAAAATGTAAAAAATGATTTAAAAAAAGTGAAAAAACAGTCCCCCCCCATCCCCCTCACACACACACACACACACACACACACACCACACACCACACACACAACGTATTATTAGACATGTGCAAAGACTAAAAATTAATTTCAGATGAAATGAACGAAAACTAAAAAAGAAGTTTTCATGTTTCATCAAACAAAACACTTTTATGCTATTTTGGATTCAGCCATTGGCGTGTTCTGGAGGCGGGGCGCATGACGTCATATAACACTGCACGTGTTGGACGCCGCCATCTTGGTGTATATCTAGGTATACACCAAGATAGCGGGGCCAATATCGGCGTGTGACGTCACCTGACGCCAGGCATGCATGGCGTCATGTAACGGCATGCTCCCTGCCTCCAAGATGGTGGCACGCATTCACAGAACACGCCGGTGGCCAATATGGCCGCCGCACAGTCTCAAACAAATTACCATGCGCCTGAATATATTTTTCGTATATTCGGATATATAGTAATTTATTAATTTTACAAGTAGTCCGGGTTTTGTGTTCTGTTTTCTATTTTTACTTTTCTAGATGCACTTACTTGAAAAAAGGGATCGGCATGACAACCTGACACTTTATTTTTATAGACTCTATTTTAGTTTGACATTTATTGTTTACCTTCGGTTGTTTTATTTCATAAGGATACTTTTATTGTGCCTACAAGTTTAATACATTTTAATAAAAGTTTTATTTTTATCATACTTTTTAATATGTTTCTTTGCGGCTAAACAACATTGGAGTCTTTAAATAGTGTGGATATTGGGGGAAATGGGTGTGGTTACTGGGGGTGTGGCCACTAAAGGGTGTGGCCACTGAGGGGCGCTGTAAAGCTTTCTCGCACAGGGCGCCTAAAGGCCTAAGGCCGGCCCTGCCAACACACATGCGGTTAAGGTGCCAATAGCTCCAAGTCACCTGGGAATAGAAACTAGAAACTCAGTTGAGCTACTCACACAAAGTACCCATTAGGGCCGGTGTTCTATCAAAGTTTGTGACTGCGTTAGAATGTGTGACTGGTGACATGGTCACACATTTTAACGTAATCCTGCCCACTTTTTCGACGTTGGAATATGTGACCGGCAAAAGGAGAAGAATTCCAAAGCTTTCTCAGCTGACTGACATCACAAATCGTATGTGTAGGAGAACCCATCTGCCCTTAAACAGCTGACTTCTATCCGACTTTGTGAGTGACATTTCAGGACCGATGAGCTGTTCCAGGACAGATCGGTTCTCCTGCACATACCATCTGCGATGCCGATCTGCCCTGGAACAGCTGAGAAAGTGTTGGAATTTTTCACCTTTTGCCGGTTACATATTCCACCGCCGAAAAAGTGGGCGTGAGTACGTTCAAATGTGTGATCACGTGACCGGTCACACATTCCAACCCAGTAACAATCTTTGATAGAACACTGGTTCCCACCATAAAAAGTGTGTTCCAGCCGGCTTCCTGCATTCAGGGGCAGGAGGAGGCGTGGAGGTGCATTCAAGTCAATGGCGCCGCAGCTATGCCCCCCACCCGCCCCCAGTGCAATCACTAGCACCAGAACACATGGCACATCAGCGCCTGCATTCCGGGCAAGTGCAATCTGAAAAAATAGTGCTTGCAGCATTTATTTTTTTTAGATCCCACTGGCAGGGAACAAGAAATGTTTTGACCCCTGTCGGGTTATTAATGCTATCTCAGGCTCCGTTAGAGAGTATTTCCCTCTCTAACGCAGCCTTTACCAGACAGGAAGTGAGGGGGGAAAAATAAAATAACATTTAAAAAAAGACAAACTCAAAAAGAAGCTGCCAGTGGGTCAAGCCTTCCCCTACTCTACAAATATAATATCAAAACGCTACTACATAAAATAAAATCCTATTTTTACTGTCTGTATTTCTGTTGGAGAGCTACCCTCACTTTCTGTCTACTGAAACTCACCAGGGTAGGAAGCGGAGGGGAAATCTCCTCTGCAGAACCTTTTTGATAGCAGCAAAATCCTGATCAGACAACTAACTATTCCCCACGCAGTGGCGTAACAACCGGGGGTGCAGCAGGGGCACGGGCCTTGGGCGAATAGTGAAGAGGGGGCGCCGGCCGAAAGTGGCACTTTCGGCTAAATGCCGAAAGTGACATTTTCCTGCCGTTTTGTCGGCGCGGCCGTGATTCCTTTCATCCCCGCTGGGACACAGAGCAGTGCCCAGCAGGGATGAAAGGAATCAGAGAGAAAATGACAGACAGCCGAGCGCTGTGAGCGGCCGGTGTCTTTCCTCCCACACCGCTCGGCCGCCTATCACAGTGCAGCAGAGCGGTGTGGGGGCGGAGACAGCCAGCGCTGTCACAGGAGGCTGGGCTCTCCTCTTGCAGCCTCCTATGACAGTGTGTGTCAGAGAGGAGAACGGGTACAAGCACTCAGCGATCAGTGATCGCTGAGTGTTTGTACATAATTGAGGACCTGGTATGTAAACTATATCCTCAATTATGAATGAATGGGAGTGATCTATATCCCCTCCTGTTCATTCATAATTGTAGTTATAGTAAACATACCATGTTATCAATGAACAGGAACACTCATAAAGGATTCCTGTTCATTGATAACAGG